GCTTTTTTCTTTTTGCTTATGTGGTGCTGAGGAATCGAACCCAGGGCCTCAGGCATGCAAGGCAAGTGCTCTACCACTGAGCCAACTTCCTAGCCCTGGGAGATAGTTTATTGAAGGTAAGAGTCTCAGAGACTCTCCTTTGGGCTGACTTTGAACTATGATCTCAGATCTTAGCCTCCTGAGTAGCTGGGATTACAGGCATGAGCCACTGGTGCCCAGCGCCGTGGAAGCTTTAAAAGTGAATATTTGGGCAAGAGTAAGATTGGTACAGGAAGCAGATTGCTTGCAATGCCAGGCAGAATTCTCAGTAACCGAATTATTTTCTCATTCAATCCCACTCCTCCAGTGCTGGGGCTCAAACCCAGGGTTTCAGGCCTGCTAGACAAGTGCTCTACCACTGAGAGCTACCCCAGCTTCACTCAATATTTTAATTCCAAATCTCATCACACCTGCTTCAGAGAATAACAGAACACTTAAACAGAAAGAAACTTCAGGATGGGGTCAGGCCTGTCTGTCATAAAAAGGAAGGGAGCGGATCCCTTGCATTCACTCAACACTTTGGCTGCCTGGTCCACACAATACAGATTCTCCACTTCTGCTTTAGCAGTTACTGCCTCTGTGAGGGCAGGGCAGGGCAGGTGCATTACTCTTGCAACGTGGCAAAGCCGCCTACAGGATGTGCTAACTCTTGAGCAAGCAGGGAGAACCAGTCTGGCCAACAGGGCCCACACCCTGAGACAACTTAGGCTTTTCACCAGTTTTTGTTTCTTGGCAGCAAGATGGAACTAATGAAATCTCACATTCAGGAATGGAGACAAAGTTAGATAAACATGGCACTCACAGGCAGCATTCTTGTAGAGATGAGGGCTTTGGCAACCAGACTGGCTGGGTCCAAATGGGACCACTTTGGGGCTTACCTTCTCGCTTCTTGTAGATTCCGGCTAATGGTTTCCCCTGGCACTTGGCTTCGTGATGTGCAACTGAGTTCTCTTCCTGAAGGGGGGAACGCATTCCAGCGCATTTGTTGGGGCTCATGTAGGAATAGATCTTTGACTGCCCGGCAAACACGTTCTCCTAGAAAGACAAAGTCGGATTCTGAAAGACGCTTGAAACGAAAAAGCTCACCCAGCACTTAGGGGAAATAAGAAGACAAAAGGCAAGCCGGGCGCCGTGGCTCTCGGCGACTGTTCTACCAGGGAATGCCAGCCGGGCTCTCCCAGGGGAGCTCGGGCCAGGCTCTGGGTCGGCCAGGTGGGCGGCAGAGGTTCCTGGACGCGTGCGGGTCTCAGGTTCCGGTGGCTCAGGGGACACGTGGCCAGCGGGAAGAGCTGGTACGGGAAGAGGCTGAGCTACCCCGCGGCAGGGAGGTCGGAATGACCCAGGAAAGCTGACGGGGAGGCCGGCTGCTGAACTGCCCGGGGAGGCGCAGCCCAGAGACAGGCCGCAGGGCCCTAATTAACGCCGGGGCGGCCGGGCGGCCCCGCTGCCCACGCCTCCCTTCCAGAAGCCGCAGGCCAGGCCACCCTCGAACCACGCCCGGCACGGTGGTCGGAGCGCTGCTCCGGGCGACGGGGGAGGCCGAGGAGGGCCGGGCG